TATTACTTTACAAGGGCAAGCTAGTTGTTAATAATTTTTATACTTTCTGATTCGTGAAAACTTCAGCAACAAAGTTTACTTAAAGAACATTATGTGCTGCGGCTAAGGTATTGGGAGAAAATTTAATTCGTCAATTTGTGTAATTTATGAAAATCATATGATAAAATTTTGGATGTGACAAATCGTGTGACTGTTAACTGTTAATTGGCATACGTACCATTCAACACGCCATTCGACCAATTGTATTGAATGGCACTTCAAAAGTCACGTGCGAATGCTGCGTTAGTGGATAATATTATATTTTTATTGGCCAATAATAATATGGATCCGGTGAAAAAATCGTTCTGGGATTTCTCACTGGAACCACTGGAACACTGGAAAAATCTTGAGTTTCCAGTTTCCAGTCAACAATACTGTCAATGGCGACATTTGAGAACAAGCCTAAAGGAATTCTCAAAAAACCATCCATAAATTTTCAGCAAAAAAATAGGTAAGCACCCTCGTACTTAAAAATGATTTTACTAATTTTGGCATTAATGCAATAAACTTTTTTTTTTTACAAGGCTAAAATGGGATGAGGACAACATTCAACTTACTGAAGGACAGAAGAACTCGACAATGAAAATTACTGAACCTAAAACTCCATACATTCATTACAATCAAGAAACTGATGAAATTATGACTGATCTTCAAAGTAAGTTTTTACTTTCAATGAAGCCGAATTTGACGTGTTATCCATGAAATTGGTTTATGTACTGAGAAGTCTAATTTTATATGCTTAAAAGCTATTCCAGGTCTCGTTTTGGAATCTAGTAGAGTATCTCCCCCAGCGGGATCTCTTTCATCCGTTTCACCAACATCAGCACATTTTCCTGATTCAATAAAGGACGATTGGGAATCCGAAAGCTCAGAAGAAGATGAAGAAAGTATGTCATTCTTTAACATGATTAACATGAATAACTTATTATTTGTTTATTATGGGCGATTTTTACTGTTTCATGTTAAATTTCCTACTTTATCTAGCCAAGGAAAAGCGCCGTAAATTTGCACAGCTCAGAGCTCAACACTATAATATGAAGGATGCACTTAGTTTAGGTCATAAGTTAGTCGAAGATGATGATGACGACGATGATAATGATGGTGATGAAAGTAGTTTCAGTGCTTTAAAGGCTAAACTTGAAAGCAACGAATCCGAAAACAATTCTGGCAATAACGATTCGTCGTCATATAATGTTTTCATGGAAACATAATACAGATAATTCATTGTTTTTTCCAAGCACCTCCGTGATTGATGTTAAAATCATGCTTTCTGCTAAAAAAGAAAAAAAAAAACTATTTATGTTTAGTAGAAGCATTCTTTTTAATTATTTTTAAGGAGAGCATTTAATTAGATTTAATAGCATTTTTGTTCGCTGAAACATATCTTTTGTAATGAATGTATTCATATATAAAAATTTTGAGATTACTAGAGTATGCATGTTAAAATTATTGCAAAGCTCTGCTATCATAAATAATTCATTCTTATTATTTGTTGCTTGGCTTGAATAATACAGTTCATCGGAAGAAAACTTAATGTACGTACGTAAGAAACGTTAATAAATTTAGTATCTAACTGTAAGGGTGCTAACGCATATTATGTAAATATAACCCTCTCATAGTCAGTCATTTGACACAATTACAAGTTATTGTTTGACAATTGCAAGCTCTAAAATAACCAATCATATAAAGTTTACACTATGATTGTCAAATGGCTGACTCGGGAGGGGGATTACATTTTACGTTCCCTAATGGAGTTATCGATGTTAGTCGAATTCAATGTTATATATATAGTATGCTATATATACTAACTAATTTGCAGTCTAAATAATCAAGATTGACCTGTAACGCTAGGACAGTTAACAAATTTAACTCTTTAGATGTAATCGCAACCCCTATTTTTTTAACTCTTAACAAGGGTTAGCATCGCACTGTTGCAGTGCGTTTAGATTATTTAGATTATAGGTAGGATGTTAAAAGTCCAGTCCGACTCGACTCAAAAAGCCGAGTCTTTATTAAAGTTAAAGATGGGAACCGTAACCCAAACCTTCCTAAACCCTTTAGGTTTAGGATATAGTATTTGTTAGTTTTGAATTAGATATTTTTTACCTAAATCCCAAATCCTAAACTAAATCCTAAATCCTAAACCAATGCCGAATTCCCAAACTAATATTAACTAAATTAACATATATAATACAATTTTTTAAATACAGTAAAACCTTTATAAGTATACATATATGAAACTTAGCTTTAATAATATATATCTAGAGAACAATAAGAAAAAATAAATTTATACAGTAAAGGTTATCTATATTATTAAACCTGAATTTGAATATATATTTAAGAAGAATATATACTTATAAAGAGTATACTTATAGAGGTTTTATTATATACCAACTTTATATAAAATATATTTTAATATTTTGAAAATATCAGTATTAGTTTAGGATTAGATTGAGTTTTTAATATTAATTTAGGTTTAAGAAAACTAGATTTTAGTATAGGTTTAGGATATTGGTATTGGTTTGGGATTTCAATATTAGTTTAGGATTTAGGAATTAGTTTAGAGTTTTGATTATGTTTCGATAACTACTATATGTTTCTGAAAATAAGCTACATCCAATAATAAGCTACCTTCCTTTTTTGAAAGAAAATATAAAAATGTTTTATATCCAAAATTAGCTACTTAATGATCATCAGTAGTTACTCCATAATAAAGTCAAAATTTTACTAAGTAAATTGATATAGTTTATTAAGTGAAAGTAGTTCAGAAAACCAAAATACATATATTTTGAAAGTTTCATCCAAATAGGATAACTTTTTATTAATACGTTTTTGCATATTACGGTTGACGGATTTTTTAAAATTTCTTTAAAATTTATATTAATTAAACATAAAAATCAAAAGTCAATTAATAAAAAGTTATCCAATTTATATGAAAATTTTAAAATATATGTATTTTGATCTCCTGAACAACTTTCACTTAATAAATATGATTAATTTACTTAATAAAGTTTTTTGTAATTAGCAAAAAACACTCTTATCCAATAATAAGCTACTTGCAAAATTTTTGTGTAACTTTTGGCCAAAAATAATAGCTTATTTTCAGATATATACAGTATGGTATAAGCAAAATCTGAAACCTTTAGGCTCAAGAAAAAAGGTTTAGGTTTCCAACTCTAATTAAAGTTAGATCACAAATCAACTTGAGACTCAATTTCATACAGAGTATAAAATACCAACTTATTTGGCAGCTATTCAAAAAGTATCATTTTTGATTCACAGTATTTTAAATCTAATTGGCTAAAAAAATAATTTATGCATATCATATAAATACTGTATTAGAATATAATATATATAAAAAAATGATTATCGCTTGTCTTGTATATATATATAAATACAACATAACAATTTGTAAAAATAGCAACTGTCAAAAAAATAACAAATATTGGAAATAATTAGTAATAGAAGATTTTTGCGAAAATATATTTAATTGGTAAATCACGAGTTATCTAAACAAAATGATTTGCAGTTGCTAAATATGTATGACACAATTTTATTAATTAAAAATTAGATTTGAAAAGCACAAATTTTGCAATGATCTGTGAATTCATATTATATTAAATATTATTCGTCCACTCCTCTATCTTACATACGTATGTACATATGTACTAATTTTTCTTTCAGACAGAAAAGTGAGTATTATTAGAACCCAATATTAAATGTTGCAGATCATAATGAAATCAGATCATTGTGAAATTTAGGCGTCTCAATTTAAAGATATAAGCTCTACCAAAATCTACCTATACTCTTTTTCTAATAATTCTAACCCTAAACCCTAAC